CTAATTTCTTTTTTATTGCAAGATTTTTTGCGTTTGTCGTCATCTTCATAAAAAAAAAATGCAATGATCATGAGTATAATAAATTATCAAATAATAAGAAGTCATATAAATGACAAACTAGATGCAAAGGGCAGATACTTAGCACACAAGAATTCATTTACAAACACAAAGTACAACCATAATTAATATACAAAGTGCAACATTAGTATAAAGTGCAGTACACACTTGATAATACATGCATTGTTTACAAGTGCAGCATCAGTACAAACTATATGCAAATGGTAGATGCTTAGCATATAAGCTAGATGCAGCATCATTAAGCACACAAGCTAGATGCAACATCATTTAGCGCACAAGCTATATGTATCATCACTTAGCAAACAAGGAGATGTAGCATCACTTAGCACACAAGTAGATACACCATCACTTAGCAAACAAGGTAGATGCAGAATTGGTTGTTAACGCACAAGGTAGATGCATAATTGTGCATAACCAATTTACAAACAGAAAGTAGAACCATAATTAATTTACAAAGTGCAACATCGGTTCAAAGTGCAACATTAGTTCAAAGTGCGGCATCGAAGCTAGACCGTTAATTTTTTTACTTACAAAATTTAGACACATATTCATTTTTTTTTTCAAATGTTTAAGAATCAATTTAGAAATAGAAAGTACAACCAAAATTAATTTATAAAGTGCAACATCAGTTCAAAGTGCAGCAAACACTTGATAATGCATGCATTTTTTACAAGTGCAACATTAGTACAAAGTGTAGCAAACACTTGATAATGCATGCATTTTTCACAACTGTAGCATCAATACAAAGTGCAGAATCAGTATACATATAAACTAAAAAGGCGAAATTGAAACATCTAAAACACTAAAATTGTTTTTTTCACGAACTAGAACTCTGAGTTTTTTGTAAAATCAAGTACAAAAAACACTTGATAATGCATGCATTTTTTACAGCTTTGTTTTGCACAAACAAGTGCAAAAACACTTGATAATGCATTCATATTTGACAGAGTTCGAAATATAATCATGCAAAAAGAACGACTTTGAGTAGTAGGAAAACCTTTGAAACACTGATCTTTTCTGGGAATCTGGCTGAACTTGTGAATCACTTTACTGAAAATCCGACTTGAAAGTATCGGAAACTATGGAGATTTTAGGGTTTCTGGGGAGGTATCTTTTGCGTGATAGGATTTTTGAAATGATAGAGGTTTGGGGAAGGGTAACGCGGGTATTGAATGGAAAAGGGAAAGGAATCGGGTAGTTTTTATGATTTTTTGTCGTGTAGTGGTTGATGTAGCCGTTTATTAATGGTTATAGTCGAGTGGCATGGACCGTAATTTATTCGGCCCGTTTCTTTTTGGGTTGGGCTTTGTTTTATGTTATTGGGTTTTTTGTCCCCCTTTGTAATGTTTTAAAAGGTGTGTAGTTGTGTGAAATATGGTATATCTATAAGTAAGGCTCCCTTTATAATATGATACTTTTTTCCCACAAAAGCTTTTATCATTTAATACAATGAGGCCTAACGCGGTAGACTTCGGTTAAATTGCCTTTGAATGGACTCTAGTTAAAACTCTTTGTTGTTTAAATTAAACAATCATATGCCTATACTAATTTTTATTTTTGAAGTAAGGAGAGAGGGAGGGAGTGAACGTGTGGGAGTGGGAGAGAGGTTTTTGTTTTTTATTTTTTATCTTTTAATATTAGATATATGTTAAAAGCATATGTAAGTGAAGCTTAAATAAAAAACAACAAAATTTGATTTTATAAAATTACATAAATGCCCATAATTTTTTTTGTGATAAATGTTTAAATAGTCTTTTTAAATTTTTTTTTTGTTGACAATAAGAGTTTTGTTAATATGAAATTTATAATAGATGTTATATATTTGTGATAGGTAACAATTTCTTTATAGTTACTGACGAGGTTCGAATTCACACCGTCATGTAAGAACTCAACTCATTTCCACCACTGTAGTAAATGACCACTTGCATAATATTCGTTTATTTCTTTAATTTGGTGTGTTTCTAAGCTAATTTTTATGAAAATAATATTTGTTTTTTTTTCTTAATCAAGAAACGAGTAATATGTGTCTGTATATATTAGTTTTAGATGGAAGTGGCCGGTCATGCTCTTGTATTAACTTACTAGTCTTTAATGGCAATGGTCATTGCCAAATATTAAAATTATTAACTTAAGAACACAAAAATATAAACCAGTTTTTTTTTTTTTTTTTTTGGGTAAAGTGTGAACCCAATTTGCTTGAGTTCCACGGTAAATTGAACTTTCAAAAAAGGGACGGGCCCATTGCATATTTGCGTTGCAACTTGCAAGAAGAGAAGTCTTGGTTCAAATATGACGACGAAGACTCCTGAGTCAAAAGGGGGGTGGTGACGCGTGGAATGCGGGAGCGAGCTCCTTTTACTAACTTAGCTTGCGAACAAGGCAAGGTTGGTCAACTCCATATTTAATTTGTTGGTATAATGTTGACGGCTGTAAGCTTGTATGTATGATTGAAGTAAAATTTTGATGTAAATAATGTTAATCTATATCACTTTCATATTTATTTTCGTTATAAAACTAATTACATGATAAGAGAACGAGAAATATATAATATGCACATAAGACTAAAGAATGGACAATTGATTTGTTAGTATGGCTATTATTAAACAAGGATATTGTTTGCAAACGCGAAGTTAGGAATTATAGAGATGGTGAGTTAATTTCACTTTTGACTGTAGTATGGAGTGAAATTTAGATGTTAGAGGTAGTTTCATTTCTAGTTTGAGCAATACTAGACTTAACTTTTCTATAATATACTCATACTGTTATAACCTATATTTAACTGAGGGAAAGAGAGGAAGTGCGACAAAGAGAGAAAATGGAGAGATTGTAGAATGCTGAGGGATTCTTGTGTGTATTACTCCCTATGCAATACCTTCATATATAGTAGAATAAGAGAAGAGCATTCACTTGTCATCCAAGTAAATACAATCCTATAGGAAAAGAATAACTAGAGTAATTGATAATCTAAAAACCAAATCTATCTAGCATTTACACACAATTAAAGAATATCCAAAACACACACCATTTCTTTTCATGTTTCAAAAATTGGGGTGGGCTGGAGCCCATGATAGACGTTATGGCTTTACTCTTGATTGTTTGCATATATGTTTGTTTGTATGTACGTTAGACGGTTGAAGCTTAAACTTAGCAAAATTTGCAGAACTTTCACAGTTTCACTGACAACAAAATATGTTCGTATTTGCATGTAACTATTACATGAATATTTTTTGGGAGTTATAACGAAACACTTCTGGTACTGTTCACTTTTAATGAAAATGATATTTTTACTCTAAAAAGTCACTTCTGATACTATTCACTTACAACACATTTTTGTCATTTTGATTAAAACTCAAAGTTTTTAAGCCTTTTCATTAGTTTTCCTTATTTTATTTTATTTTTTTGAGAGTTTGTGGCAGATCAAAAAAATGTCATTTGCACTCTAAACACATCAAAATATAACAGCAAAATTATGTTTCGGAAGAGTGCATAATGACCTTTTTAGAGTGCCAATAGCGTCACACTTCTTTTTATTTTCTCTTTTTCTTCCTAAAATTCCAAGCTACATGCAATTTCAATATATATCTACTCTAAGACCATCTCCAACCCTTGGTGTAAAACCAAAAATTTTTAGCTCAGAAAATTTAGGTTTTAACCCAGAAACAACTTTTCTACTCCAACCCTTCTGGCGTAGTTTTTTAGCCCGAGCTTTTTAAAGAATAAATTTAGGCTAATTTTTTAAGCAATTTAGAAAAAAAATTATGTACACTATCATAATTTAATTTTATGAACATTTTAACCTATAAATATTTAGATTCCGATAAATATTAAAAAATCACTAAATTTTGGTGAATTTTGAGTTAAATTATTTTAGCTGTTGGATTTAAATTTAGGCCGTTAGATCATTTTTTACCATTAGATTTGATTATATTCGATCTTAGCCGTTGGATTCAATAAATATAAATATAAAACTAAAAAAAAAGTTTGAATGTGGACCGTTGGATGAACCAATGGCTCATTTGATTGTGGCCGCATGATCAGAAAAAAAAAAGAGCCGTTAGGCTCATGATTGCCAGTAGACAAGTGGGCATCAAGCCCATGTGGGTGCGACTTTTCTGCTGCTGGGCTTGGTGCATGCCGGGCATGCGTGCGACCAGCCCTGGAATTTGGGCTTCAAACGCTGAATTTCACTATCACTTATGGGCTCCACCACTAATCTTGGGCTAAATATTAGGGGGAATTTGAGTTTTTTTTTTTTAGAAGTTTTAACACTTAACTATATTTTAGAACAAGAGTTGGAGAGAAATGAGGAAGGGGGAATAGAAGGGAAAACTTAAGACTTAGGGCTGGTTTGGTATTGCTGTGCTTTGAAAAAAAGCTGCTTCTGTTGTGCTGTGAGAATAAGCAGCTGTGAAATAAAGCAGCAGAGTGTTTGGTAAACTTTTTTGTAAAAGTGCTTTTGAAAAAAAAAAGCAGTATTAGAGTGTTTGGTAAACTTTTATGTAAAACAGATGTGAAAAAAGCTGGTTTTTCAAAGCTAGGTTTTGCAGCTTCTTATTTTTGGCTTTTTTTCATCCAAAACTGTGAAAAAAAGCTGAAGCTGAGTGTTTACCAAGCACAAAAATAGCTCCCAGCTTTTTTTGATAGCAGCTTTTTTCAGAATCACCTCAGTACCAAACCAGGTCTTACTCCAAGGGTTGAAGTTAATCTAAAATCTTAATAATTTATTTTCTTATATAAAATTTCGGATGACAAACTTAAAACGATAAAAAGGACGAAAAGTAAAGAGACGCTCCTCATGCAGTAAAAATGGAGGGAAAAAGACATGAACTGTAAAAGATAAATACGAAATACAAAAGAAAAGAAAAATGGAACTCAAAACAGTTAAACTAAAAATAAATCAAAGACTAGTTTTTAGTTTACAATTACAAAGGTAGGTTGGAGAGAGAGAGAGAGATCCGTACCAATCAAATTGTATCAGACAGCAGTGTGGTTTGTGCGAGGAAATATAGAGAAAAAAGACACACCGCGCAAACAAGGAGAAAGCGAGCACCGAGCACCTTCCACTCGTTTCTCTGCCTGTTACTGGCCCACAACCCGAGGCAAATTTTTGCCCTTTTTCTCTGCTTTTTTATTGTATTAGTTTATTTGATTTGTTTAAAGTTTCATGCTGTAGTTATTCTTTGCTTCCCCAAGTGGGAAACTGTTTGTTGTTGTTGCTGACGAGAGAGAGAGGGAACTTGGAAGGGGTTGGGAAAGTGGAAATCCCTATGAGAAACTAGATTTCTGGGGTTTGACCAAAGTTTGGTGGTGACCCAGGTGAGAAAAACTCTCCTTTTCCAAGTGTTTGTTCCTGTTGCAGATTTTGATTTGGTTTTTGGAAACAATCTGTTGGGTTTTTTATTTGGGGATTGGTGTTTTTGAGAAAGTCATATATTTGGACTTGAGATGAGATCATATCGGGATCTGTGCTGGGTTAGTTTTGGCTTTTGCAGTTTGTGGATTTTAATGTTTAGGGAAAATTTTGAGATTTCTCGTTCTGGATAAGGAAAAAGATTGAATTTTTGGGTTCTTCTGCTATCTAATTGAGAGATTAGAACATAATTTGAGGGTCTGAATTTATCTGTGTTTTTTTGGTTGGTTAGATTTTGACTCAGGATTTCATGGGTTGAAAGTGGAATGGAAAAAAAAAACAGTGAATTGATGGGGAGCTATGGTGAAGAGCGTGAGGATCAATTTTATGATACCCGAGAGGACCTTTCTTTGGTTTCGGATTGGGGTTCAGATTGCTGTGAGGCGTTTAGTTCTGGTACTCCAGGTTTCTTAAGGTATGAGGAGGTGTGGGCTAACAACCTGGAAAGTGTTCATGAGCGCCGCCATAAGTTCCTGCAGTGGATGGGTGTAGATTTGGATTCGAATTCGATGACGACAGAAGACTCAGAAGATGTCTTTGTTGACAGAATTAAAATTATTGATAGAATTAGGGAAGATAGTGGGGTGGTGTTGAGAACTTGGGGATTGGAAGAGGCGTCTTGCTCAAGTCAGTCAACAGTGTCTTCTTTGTCAACTGAAGCGCGGGAATCACTAGGAAATGGTGCTTTGGATGATACACATTCCACACGTGCAATGAGGAATTTGAACGGTGGAATGACTGTCATTGTAAGTGAATTGGTTCAGGATGGAAGGCTTGGCAGATTAGGTCAAGCGGGGCTAAATCAATTGGTTAATGGGGAAGTTCTCAGTGCACAGGCACCATCTCCTTTGATTCAGCAATTATTGCAGAGAGAAGTTGATAACGCTAGGTTCTTTCTTGATGCGAAGAAGAAAGTTAAAAGGGGATGGTTAAGGAAATTAGGAAATGGGATTTGCGTTGCTGATAAACATGAGGCTGCGTTGAGCCCCATCGGTCTTAAATCTGCGTCAGGGGTAGGGATGCAAAGAGTCCAAGTTCATCCAAGTAAAAAGCGGACCAAGGAATTATCTTCACTGTATGCTGGGCAACACTTTTCAGCTCACGAGGGTTCAATTTTGTCCATGAAGTTCAGTCTTGATGGGCAATACTTGGCCAGTGCTGGTGAAGATGGTGTCGTTAGAGTGTGGAAGGTGATTGAGGATGAGAGATTCAACCAATTTGATATTGCTTCTGATCCTTCTTCTCTGTACTTCAAGATGCATCCATTTTCCAAGTTAAACTCTCCAAATGTGAACAAAGAAAAACAGAGTAAGGCGCAGCAATTGGGGGGATCATCAGAGTCAGCTTGTGTCGTTTTCCCTCCAAAGATATTTCGCTTATTGGAGAAGCCTGTTCATGAGTTCCGGGGACACGGAGGGGAGGTCTTGGATCTCTCATGGTCAAAGAAAGGGGTTAGTAATGCTTTTGGCTGTGCTATCTCATTTTTAATATATGCTACTTTATTTGTAGAATGGTGGGAAATTGGATTTTATTTCCTATTGTAATTAATCTTTCCAGCCAAGTTGGTGTTGATTCACTGAACTCGATAGAACTAATGGTGTGTTTTGTGTGCGCTTCAGTTTCTGCTGTCATCCTCTGTTGATAAGACAGTCCGTTTATGGCAAGTAGGATGCAACAGATGCCTAAGAGTCTTTTCTCACAGTAATTTTGGTGAGCCTTGCCACTTGTTTGCGTTCTGTTACAATGTAGTATATCAGTGACTTGGTTTGTGTTGGTTATCTGTATCGTTATGATCTCAATTCTTTCTTCCATTTTGAAGTAATTCTGCAATGATTATCTAAAGCTGTGATATTCGATGCAGTGACATGTGTTAATTTCAACCCTCTGGATGATAATTATTTCATCAGTGGTTCAATAGACGGAAAAGTTCGCATTTGGGAAATTATTCGTTGTCTGGTTATTGACTATATTGATGTTCGTGAGATAGTCACTGCTGTATCTTATCGTCCTGACGGAAAGGTCTGTTGGATTTTTGCTTGGAAATGAAAATTAAGCATGAAACCACGTGGATTTTGTTTAACTTTGTTTCTTGATACTTGCAGGGAGGAATTGTGGGTTTGATGACTGGAAATTGCTGTGTCTATAACATCATAGGTACGAAGACCTAATAGTGAATTTTTCTTAATAGTATGCCACTATAATGCTTCTAACTAAAACCCGACTCTTAAGTGTAGCAGAAAACTGGGAGTTCCTGATAATTATATGCTTTAATTAATCTCCTCTTTCTTTGAAAATCGGGCTGACATGAGATGATTATCTTGATGTCATTGCAAAATATCTTTCCTTTTGTTTTGCTTGGTCTGATAGTGTGAAATATCTAATATCTTGTGATTTGTTCAAAATGTCTGACATAGAAAAAATGAAAACTTTGGGGGTTAGTGTATGAGCTATTGAGCACTCTTCTCTTGCAAGCCAAATTTGCAAGGGTGAGATCTATCCACGGTCCCTTACGATTTTTGTTCTTTTTTGTTATTCTATCTTTGTAGTTCGTGATCGTGGTTTCAATATTTTCAGATGACCATCTGGAATTGGATGCTCAGATAAACATACAGGGCAAAAAGAAGTCACCTGGAAAAAGGATAACTGGCTTTCAGGTTGTTATGAACAATTTCTATGTCATTTCTTCCATTTTCACTCTATTTCTCTGCGGTATACTAAGTGTAATATGATTCCTCAGTTTTCTCCAAGCAACCCAAGCAAAGTTATGGTGACGTCTGCTGATTCAGTAGTCCGTATAATTTCTGGGAAAGATATCGTCTGCAAATATAGGGGTATGCATCAGCTTTTATTCATCGTCGTAATTGTTTTAAGTTATTGTTACACCCCAGCCCCAAAGTCTGGAATGATTATAGTATTAACTGTTTTGTCATTCCTCATTAGGTCTTCGAAATGGAGGAAACCATATGTCCGCCTCTTTTACCTCAGACGGAAAGCACATTGTCTCAGCAAGCGATGATTCAAATGTACGCATCTGGAACTTCAATAGCCAGGACACAACATCTTCGCGATTGAGGAACATATGGTCTTGTGAGAGTTTCGTGTCCCACAACTCCATGATTGCTATACCTTGGAATGGTGTAAACAGCTTGCCGGGAACCCTTCCATCCCCCAGATTCATTGGGGATTTGCCGCGAAGCAGCCTTGATTATCCCCTAAAACATTACAATTTGGATGAGAAAGTAGAACAGAAGTCCTTGCCAAGGGGTACCGCAACTTGGCCCGAGGAGAAACTTGTAAACTCAAGTCCAGTACCCGTTTCCCCAACGATGTGCAGATCCGAGTATAAGTTTTTGAAGAGTGCTTGCCATAGTATGTCTGGCTCTTGTCACATGTGGGGCCTTGTGATCGTCACCGCCAGCCTGGACGGACGGATTAGAACATACCACAATTACGGATTACCTATTCGTCGTTAAGATCCCTCAGGTGGCATTTTTTAGGCAGTGGTTTTGCATCCTTGCAAACACAGCTGGTAATTGTTAAATAACCCTTGGTGCTTGTCCAATGCAGTATTATTGACAGTTTGCCGACGACAGCTCTAAGGTGGGTTTACCCAGTGGACAAAGGATTGTCTGCCCTCCTACTTCCGGTGCCCTTCCATGGCCTTCTGTTTTGTATGGTCACGGTTAAGTATATCAACATTTTATATTGTTTTTTTAATAAAGATAATAAGACAAAATGAATAGTAATATAAAATGTTGACGTGATTTAACTGTGACTATACAAGCAGGAGGGCACGGGAGGGCACCAGAAGTGAGAGGGCAGACAAATCTTGCCCTTACCTAGTTTGTTCCCCTGAAGATTTCCAAATGTATGGTAGTCCAGTCAGGTTGTGCCAGGTGGCGACCGTTTATCCGGTTCAGCTGCAGTCCCGCCAGGTGGCTGGGGGATTGGTTTTTAGTTTTTGTTTTGGATCATCTTGTACAAGTCAATTATATGATTCTTTAATTTGTTGGTTTCTCAGCTCAAGAAATTATAGAAGTGTATAATTTAAGTGGCTGTAGGCCCTTAGGAATTAGGATAGAACCGATAGAATACAGTTACAAGTGTATATAATTATATATCTATACACACACACACACACACATATACAGGGGGCATCTTATGAAAACCTGCATTTAGAAATATTGGATATCTTCTTGACATTTCATTTATCAAAATTAAATTTTGGGTGGTTTGGGGGCGATTCTCAAGCTCTCTCTCTCTCTCTCTCTCTCTCTCTCTCTCATTTGAATGAATATCAGAAGTGTGAATAATTCTGATGACATTGATAGTGTTTTATTGGGTTTTTATCACAATTCGTCTCTGAAATTGATCCTCACGATTAATATTGTTCCTGAAATTGAAAATCAATTAATATAGTCTCTAAAAATAGGTGTCGCAAATCAATGTGATTATTCCGTCATAATTCTATTAAAAATTATGTTAAATGTTGATATGACACATAAATGGGATCTCATAAGTCAAATTTTCTCACAAATAGTCATTGAAATTGACTTGTAACATCAAAATGGTCTTTGAAATTGATCTGTGACATCAAAATGATCCCTGAAATTAAAAATCGATCAATGTAGTCTCACAATTAAGTGTCCCAAATCAATATAGTCATTTTGTCAAAATTCTGTAAAAAATTCTGTTATGTGCTGATGTGACATATAAATGGATCACATAAGTCTAATTAAATTAAAAAAAATTATAAATAGGTTTAATAATTTAATAGTTAATAAAAAGTTGTAAAAATCTCAATACTTCTATCTTTACACACTTTGACACCCTTCAGCGAATTGAATATGAATCGAGATTACCTTTGGTGACGACTTGACTGATTGACAACGATTTATGGGACATTACCGTTAACATTTAGGCAATCAACATTCTCACAACCTTAATCTTGGAGAGCTTGTTCGATGCTTTCTTAGTCGTTTGGTGACTCAAAGAAAGGCGAGGTCTGTCTTGAGATAATGAGGTTATAACCGAGGTGCGTCTATTGTTGGTTGAAAACTATTTCCAAACCCTCTCTTAGGCCTTGGTTAATACTTGTGCCTTTGAGAATTTATGGAAGGGATCTTTCTTTGGAGTAGGTCCTATTATAAGAAAAAAAACTCCATTGTGCAAAAAGGTATTTAGATAACTTTTTAAATTAATTATTAAACCCACATCAGCACATAACAAATTTTTTTTTACAGAATTGTGGTGGAAGGATCATTTTGATTTGCGACACCTATTTTCAAGGACTATATTCACCGATTTTCAATTTTAGGGACCGTCTTGATGGTGTGAGTCAATTTCAAGGATCATTTGTTATAAAAACCCGTAAATCATGTGGAGCCCATTTATGTGCCACATTAGCACTTAATGGAATTTTTAACAGAATTGTGACAGAAGAACCACATTGATTTGCGACACTTATTTTCAATGACTACATTGATTGATTTTCAATTTTATGAACCATCTTGATGATGAAGGTCAATTTCAATGACCATTTGTGATAAAAACCCGTTTTATTTTATATTTTACATACAAAGATATGCATAGACTAAAGAAAGAGAGATTTGAACCCTCGATAGGTTTTTGTTTCGAACCATACCAAAACCACAAAACGGATCTACTATAATATTTAGGTTAAGCCACACACTAATCACATTACTGATAATACACCAAAGCGGCATGTCTTACTGATGAAACTTTGTCCAATAAGGATGGGGAGTATATCTAGATTCTAAATTACTGAACCCGAGATTGGCAATGGGACAGTCAGCTGTCCGCCTGATTCGAGAAGGAGACGTATTTGCCATGCATTCTTTTCAGAATTAATATGTAGAAATTTTCAAAGAAAGTTTTGTCCCATTCATTAAGAGAGGAAACATGAAAGAAACAACACAAGTGTGTAATTGAATAGCAGCAGTCTGATTTGGTGATAAGTCAGACATCCTACTTGGTTGTTAGTTAGACAATGATTTAGTGAAAGAAAAGACCATTTGAAATTTGCTCCAATGATTAATATGAGGTTCTCATAAATTTTGGATTTCTTCAAAGCTAAACAAAATGCTTATTGGTAATACAAGTTTCTTTATGGAATACTAGTTTGGTAATACTCTTTAGAAGAACATTGTACGAGTGAGGAGAGAAACATAAGTAAAATTGAATTATATGCAGATGATAGGACAATGATCAAACAATTACGGAATACGCGCGAGGTAGATTTGAGGTCTATATGTAGAGAATGTGGATTGTGGAGTGTACGTGGAGTATGTATATGAAGTGTATTTAATAATATGTGGGACGAGAATAAAACAACCCTTAATTTTATTCACCCACTCTCCCAAACACTACCTTTTCCTCCTATCAATTCTCACCAACCACATGCATAACATGTGGAGATTTCTAATATCCATTAACTAAACAACACTTGATTTGCTGCAAGTTTTTAAACTTTCTTTTTCTGCTTAAAGCTTCTTTACACGCCAAGATTTTGAGTTGTGGCGAACATTTTTCATTCACTAGATGCTGAAATTATTTTATGAAAAGATCATCAGATTCGGGTTAGTGCGTATGGACAGGAGTAGAAGAAGCAAAGACCAAGATTTATGTATCCCAAAGATTTTTAGAGGCTCTCCATTTGCAATTCGAATAGGGTCACTTGGTCATGAACAAACAGCTGATAACAATGTTCTTGTAAAAACGTTAAAAGTACCATGACAATAATAAAGTCATCATGCACACGTGCATAGTAAAAAATTTGAGAAAAAAGGAGTAAATTTCTAAATAAATAATTTTTTAATATAACAATATATTTACATTAAAATACGAAAAAGTAAATTGATATCAAACTTACAATTTACAAATGAAGTATAACAATGCTCTAACATAGAAGACTAGCTTATTCTTATTTTGACTTAGCTTGGAATTGGACGAGACAAAACTTAGCTCTTCACTCACCACATGCATAACTAATAACTTCGTTTTAGAGTTTTTTTAACATTTTCCGCTTCTCAAGACTTCCTTTACATGCCAAACATGTCATAATCTTTAAATCATGACAAGATTTTGAGTTGTTACGACCAAGCAGTATTAGTAGATCTTAGACAAATTTTTATGAGACGCATGCATAAGTTCATAACACATTACACACCTACGATTTATTGAAAAAAAACATATGAGACATAAAATTTTTGGAAAAAAAAAACTTAATAAAAAAACAAACCTTTTAGTTTAAATACCAATTCTAAGAATTTTTTTTTTTGTTAAACTACCATGTTTTTAGTTTAGGTACCATTTGAAAAATCAACCAAAATAATTCTATATATACAGTACTATAAATCAAAATAATTACATAATTGTCACTTAGCTTTACCACATTTTTTGACCAGTTAACTTGTTCATGCAATTGGTTGATCAAATTTTATAGCAACCAACCAATCAAATTTTTGAGTCTCAATGTCGTTGTCCAACAGTGATTTAAAAAAAAAAAAAGTTAAGTAATGAATTTTTTCATAAGCTCTCCAATTTATTGTGTATGCATGTAAACTAACACAACAAAACATAATTGAAGATGAAAAAGTTGCATGTATTATTTTTTTAATCATTGTTGAATAATGACTTGAAATTATTTGGCGCTCAGAAAAAATTTCGGCCGCAACAACAGTGGCCGGCGACAATTTTTGGTACCGACGCCGTTGACGTGTGGGCCATGTGTAATGTTTCCACAAGTTGTGGCTTAATCCAAATAAATTGGGAAGAAATTGATAGTTTTTCTTAAAGTTGATATTTTTCTTTAATACTTTTTATCAAAATTGATATTTAATCTGAATGTTCCTAAAAAAGATAACCCCAATTAAAAATTAAACCCCCAAAATAAATTAAAAAAAAATGTTCACAGTTCTCACATGGCAAATAAAAAAAATGAAGTTTTAATGAAACACTTCTGGTATTATTTAATTTTAATGAAAAATTATATTTTTACTTTTTCTAGCACTATTCACTTACACTTTTATTTATCTTTTTTCATTAAAACTAAAATTTTTAAGGATTGTTCTTTTAGTTTTCCTATAAAAAAATTGTCCGCAATAGTGCTCAAGTTATAAAATCCAATATATTATCCAAGGAAGGTAGGGTAGCTAGTGTGGCCTGTGGTGCTGTCTTTGAGAGTCTTCGGCTAGACTGAAGCAATAGTACGCGTCTCTGTGCAGACACTATGCTTAACATGGGGAGAGCGCCATGCTGTTCAAAGGTAGGACTGCATCGAGGTTCATGGACTGCCAGAGAAGACAACTTGCTTATTCAGTATATCAACTCCCATGGTGAAGGCCGTTGGAGTTCTTTACCTGAAAATGCTGGTACAATAATTTAATCTTTTTTTCTGTCAAGTTATCATAACTCATAACATTTTAGTGAAGTGTCTTCTGTTTAATTTGGTCGTATAAATTGCATGTGATATTAATGAGTTGTTTTTGTTGAAATTGAAGGTCTTCTTCGATGTGGGAAGAGCTGCAAGCTGAGATGGATGAACAATCTCCGACCTGGTATAAAGCGAGGCAACATAACACCCGACGAGGAGCTTATTCTCCGGCTTCATGCCCTTCTCGGCAATCGTTGGTCTCTCATCGCCGGAAGACTTCCCGGTCGAACAGACAATGAGATCAAGAACTACTGGAATACTCATCTCAGCAGGAGATTCAAAAACCCTACCACTGGTAAGGGAACCGAGAAACAAAGTAGCACCCGAAAACGAGCATCAAAACCACAAAAGAGAATGCTTTGAATGATAATTTTATTCTTCTCAATGAGAGGTATTTATACAAGATGTACAACCCTAGTGTAATAGGAAGAAAACTAATTACACGAGATTATAGAAGATTACAGGGAATTGATATCAATTAGGAATCCTACCTAAAATACAAAGTTAACACTTCTCCTCAAGTTGGTGCATATATGTTACTCATGCCCAACTTGTGTAAGAAACATGAAAACTCATGACTTGAAACAACTTTTGTGAGGATATCTGCCAACTGATCCTCTGTTCTTATTGTTGGTAGCTCAAATATTTTTTCTTCTAATTTTTCTTTGATGAAGAACCGATCAACTTCAATGTGCTTTGTTCTATCATATTGTACCAGATTATGTGCAATGTCACGAGCAGCTTTATTATCATAAAATAATTTCATGGGCTGATCATGTAGTATACCCAAATCACAAAGCAGGAGCCTAAGCCACAGAATTTCACAAATCCCTAAAGACATACCTCTATATTCAGTTTTTGCACTAGAACGGGCAACCACATTATGTTTCTTACTTTTCCATGTAACCAAGTTACCCCCAACGAATGTAAAGTAACTTGATGTTGAGCGCCTATCGTCAATCGAACCCGCCCAATCTGCATCAGTATAACCTTCAACTCTAACATGATTATTCCTTTTAAACAAAACTCCTTTGCCGGGACTTTCTTTCAAATATCTCAAAATTCTCATCACTGCCTTCATATGTTGTTCTCCAGGATCATGCATGTATTGACTTACCAAACTTAAGGCATAAGCAAGGTCCAGTCTTGTGTGTGCCAAGTACATTAATTGACCTACTAACCTTTGATATCTCCCTTTGTCAACTGGTACTTGATTAGGATCAACACTAAGCTTCAATCCTTCCTCTAATAGTGTAGCTACTGGTTGACAAGCTGACATGACAGTTTCGTGCAACAAATCAATAATATACTTCCTCTGTGATAAGAAAATTCTCAAATTGCTTCTCGATACCTCAATCCCCAAAAAATATTTCAAGGATCCAAGGTCCTTCATCTTAAATTTTGTAGACAAATATCTTTGCAAGGCTGCACGTTCTTCCGGGTCATTACCTGTTACCACCATATTATCTACATACACAATAAGTGCAGTAAGTTTCCCATTTCGTCTTTTCAGGAATAGAGTATGATCGGAGTTACTTTGTTTATAGCCAAATGCTCTCATAGATTTTGTGAATCTTTCAAACCATGCCCGAGGGGACTGCTTCAAACCATATAAGGATTTCTTCAACCTGCACACTTTTCTTTTGTATTTATCTGGAGCATTACATCCCAGTGGAAGATCCATATAAATCTCTTTTGTCAAGTCTCCATGCAAGAAGGCATTCTTCACATCGAACTGCTGTAATGGCCAATTAAGATTTGCAGCCAAGGACAACAAAACACAGACTGTATTGATCTTGGCTACAGGGGCAAATGTATCTGTATAGTCAATTCCATATTTTTTAGTGTATCATTTTGCTACTAGTCTTGCCTTGAAGTGAACCACTGCCCCATCAGCTTTGTACTTCACTGTATAGACCTATTTACATCCCACAGGTTTCTTACCGGCTGGCAAGTCTGTAATCTCCCAAATAGCATTCTTCTTTAAATATTTCAATTCTTCATTCATTGCTGATTGCCAACATGGATCAGGTAAAGCCTCATGCACACTGTTAGGAATAGATACAGTAGATAATTGATGCACAAATGGCTTATTTGATTCTGACAGGTGACTGGTAGACAAATAATTACTTAATGGGTATAACACATTAGACTCAGGGTTGGGCTTACTCATCGGATACCTAGTTTTGCATTTAGGGTCGGCTTCATAAGTAAGTTTAGGAATACCTCGGTTGACACGATCAGGGAGACGACGTGTTGGTGGTGCATCCAGGATCAAAGATGATTGATTATGGTTATTGGGACTCAAGATCGACTGTGAGATAGCTGGTGACATATGACTGTCCGGTGGTGAGGAAACTGGCAGTGAGCCATCAGGCAGTGAGTTCCAAGGTTTTCAACATAGTTTCCGTGTGAATGATCACCACTTGTCTCCAAGACATCACCACTTAGTTCCAATCCATTCGCATCATTTTTCTCGTGTAAGTGATCACCACTTGTCTCCAAGACATCACCACTTAAATCCAAATCATTCACACTATCTATATTTGGAATAGGATGATCAAGAGTTTGAACTTCTGTCTGATTCTCCTCCTGAAGTGAAGACTCAAGATGGGCAAAGTACATATCATTCTCATGAAACGCAACATCCACAGTGACAAACAATTTTTTCGTCGGAGGGTGATAACAACGGTACCTCTTTTGATTTGAGGCATACCCCACAAACACACACCATAAGGCCCGAGGCTCAAGCTTACTTCTCTGCTATTTATGAACATGAACAAAGGCCATACAACCAAACACATGAGGTGGAAGAATAGGAAATGTAAGAGCATCAACACATGAAGAAAGAGTCTGGAACGGTGTCTGAAAGTCGACTGCTTGGGATAGAACACGATTTATGAGATACGCAGCTGAGGTGAGAGCTTCTCCCCAAAAAGATAACGGCAAACGCGCCTCAATCAAAGAAGCATGAACAACCTCTAGAAGTTAACGATTCTTGCATTTTGCAACATCATTTTGTTGATTAAGAAAGGCACGAAGTTTAGAGTTTATATATTCGCCGCCATTGTCACTCCTAAGAACCTGTATTTGTGACTTATATTGTACTTGTACCATTTTATAAAACCGCTGAAACAAATAAGCAACTTCACTTTTGGACTTCATCAAACAAACCCAAGTCATACGTGTGCAGTCATCAATAAAAGTAACAAACCAATGAGCATCACCAAGTGTAGCAGTTTTAGATGGTCCCCAAACATCAGAATGAATGATCATAAACGGGATTGAACTTTTATTCAAACTAGGCGGAAACGGAGTACGATGCCTTTTAGCCATTTCACAAACACCACATTTAAAGTTAGAAATATCATGCTTACCAAACAAGCTAGGAAACAACTTCCGCAGATAGCTGAACGAAGCATGTCGAAGTCGACGATGCCACAACCAAAGCTCCGAAGCTTTATTCATATCCCTCGGATTTCCTTCCACTACAAGAGCTTGAGTCAACATTTGGGAACTGTTTGATGTCAGCTCCAAGTAGTAGAGCTTCCCTTTCCTAATACCATAACCAATCATCTTGCGAGTCCGAATGTCCTTAAAAACGCAAAAAAAATGCCAAAAAATCACAAGACAAAGCAAGCTGACAGTTATTTAAGTAATAGATAATAAATTATAGTAAAGAGAATGAACAACAAGTACGGTATCAAGACTAAGAGTATCTGAAAGGGAAACAGTTCCTTCCCCTACAACAGGGGCATGATTACCATTGGCAACACTGATGACAGTTTTGGTGGATGGTTTTAGGGTTTCTACCTGTCTAGAATCATAAGCCATATGTTCAGTAGCACCAGAATCAATTATCTACGTATTATTCATAACAGAGGCAGAAACCTTTAAAGCCTTACCATTGTTACCTGTATTAGTAGAGGCAGACACTTCCGCAACTATATTTTCAGAATCTACCTTCGCATCAGCAAACGAGGTACGCGTGGTCGTATTCTTATGTCCAAGTTGGTCGAATCGATTTGGAGACGTACAAGTCTAGACTGCCATTCCCAAGTAACCTTAATCAATACGTCACTCGGTGATCGGTAAAGCCCAAATTTCCAAGCAAACCAAGCCCAAGAAGCTTCAATTTGCACGGGCCAACAAGAAGGATAATCCAACAACAATTAAAAATAATAATAATCTAAAAAACCACAATTTTTTCCTTGCCGTGTGGGCCTTAATCATACAGCCAAATTTTTTTTTCTAACACCACAATTTATTTTCTCTTCCGTTTGATTCCCCTTTTTCTTTTTTCATTTCACCTTTTCCTGTTTTGTTTTCTTCTCACTTTGAAACAACAGCGGTGGTATGGTGGTTCAAGGCTCCAACAAGGATAATAGCAACAAGGACATATTGCAGTTCAAAGTGCGAGACAGAGGTGCAACAGTACTGTGGTGGATCGGTCAGATTAGCGTGTCTGATGGGAGTAGGTTTATGGGTTATCGAACCTTGAGTCGGGTACGGCGCATCAACACAAGTCAGTTAGGTTGCAATCTGTGCAATCCTTCACGACTTCAGATTAAATCAGAAGCAAACATGCCAGTTGGTCTGTCGTGTCACACAACAGAGAGTGAAACGATTCGATGAATTCGGGTCAGCAACGACGACGTCGCTCATTGTTTGTTTCGAATTCAAAGAGGGTAACAACGACAACAGTCGCTCGCTGATCGAGGTTAGCGCACCATACACCGCTGAGCCACAACAGTGTTATCGCAGCTGTGGGTTTTTTTTTTCTTTCGACCTGGCTCTAATGCCAAAAAGAGAATGCTTTGAATGATAATTTTATTCTTCTCAATGATAGGAGATTACACGAGATTACAGGAGATTACACGGAATTGATATCAATTAGGAATCCTACCTAAAATACAAAGTCAATAACCACAATGTGTTCCATCTGAGTCCAAGAAAAATGACTGAGGTCATATTAGTGCAGACGATGGTAGAGTAGAAGAAAAGGACACAACAATTACAAGGATTCATATCCCAAAGGCTATTAGGGGTTCTCCGTTCTCAACCCAAATCGCGTCATTTCATCCTGGACAGGGGGATCAAAACAAAGAACAAGAAGATGGTTGGGAAGACTCCGTTTGTGAGGTTTCTAATCTTCATGTTTTTTGGTCTGATTAGATTAGCAAAAACGATTGGGAAAACTCAGTTTGTATAGTTTAAAAGATTATGACTTAGCCTGCCAAAATTCTGAAATTGCTGCAGCAATAGTTACAGCTATAATACCATTGAATATTTGTGAAGAACAATTTATCAAGGCACAAGAACATGATCATTTGGAGTCTTTTGTTGATCCCTTGTTGATTTAAAAGAAAGCAATGTTAGATTATGTAAAGCTCAAGCGTATTTGTGAGATTTGTACTGGAAGAAATCAAGAAGATGAACAAATTGAATCTGTAGTGTAAATGTTTTTGTAAAAAGGATCCAATCAATAAGTAACTGCATTCTTGATTGTAATAACTCAAGTGTAAACCCTAGCATTTGCTGCAATAAATGGAGTATCAATAAGAACCCTAATAATACCATAAGCATGCAAACTAACCTGAACTTGTAGCCATGATTGATTTGTAGAAAGGATTCTCTTCTCTTTTCTTATACGAAC